AATACTATATAGCACGTTATCTTCGTCATTACTACACATTTCCCTTTAATTATAATTTATACAACACCAGTGCGGTTGCTGTTTTCCACCAACTTAGGATGTAAGTTTTGGACCTTTAAGTAGTTGTCCAGCGGCTCTCAAAATGCATGAAAATACACTTCTCTGGAGCATCGTTATTTCAACTTTTAGTTAGTCACGGTACCCTCTTAAGCAATGAAATTTTCTCTCAATCCCAAATTCTTCACAGACTATTTATTCTGCATCACTCTGGAACTCGCCGAGTGCTATGTCATGTATGAGCGCATTTGTTTCTTGATTTAGCGAACGAGCAAGAATAAAAAAGGAGATGACATTTTTAGACTGGTAAAAAATTAGTTCGTAATCAAAACACTAGAAACGATTTAAAATACCTTATGGAGGCACCTCGCTGCTGAATGTACATGAATAAAAAGATAGATATTAGGTCTAGACCTTGATACACGAATATGAGAATATTTGTGCCTCTCGATGCCCTTTTTTAATCATGTTTCTAAATATAACGAATGTGATAACAATGTAATTTCGAATAAAAGATACAATGTATATTCGAACGCCTTGCTGTCATAATATTGTAAGCGAGCGAAGAAGAAAGACACTTTATTATCTTTGAAATTAGATTTTCTCATGTAATTTCATACTCCAACCGTTTCTGATATTTTTTTTCTCACAAAATCAACGTTCTACAAAAAAATGTTGTTATGTAACTAACATTCTCTTGCGACTCCCCAGTTGGAAAACGCTGCTATGGAGTTACAAAATCAATGAGATAAATGTCCCAGCGGATATTTCTTTTGGCATGGCACCGTAGATATAACTTGAAGGCACTTTCTATTACAAAATTAATTACTTTACAAGAAAACATATTTTACTTCAGCATAACAACAGAAATATATATTGAATTGAATGATTTGTAAAGACTGAAATGAACTCCATAAATAACTAAGAAAATAAAGTTTATGAAATTTTCTGTAACTAGACAAGCTCGCATTATACGTCACAATGTTGCAAATTCCTCGGCGGCGATTGTTCTTGAAGGGTAGTTGTCCTCGGGGGTAATTGTCCTCGAGGAAAGATGCCTCGGGGTATTTGTCATCGGGGGGTAATTGTCCTCGAGGAAAAAGATGCCTCGGGGGTAGTTGTCCTCGGGAGGTAATTGTTCTTGGGGGGGGGGGGGTAATTTTCCGGGTTTTTTTTTTCCAGGGGGTTATTGTCCTGGTACGGTTTTTAAGGGGATCTTTTGTGAGACGGTTAAGAAATCTTATCACCATGATTCCCTTATACAAGATTTGTTTGAGTTACAGGACACTGAGCCCGAAGATTTCGATGTTTTAGATAATTTAAGGCACTAAAATTCACATTGATGTCACTTCTACACGTTCGCCTAGAATTTTCGTATTTTGGTTAGGATAAGGTTTATTGGCTACATTTCTAATACTATTATTATTTGTCGTTAAAAAAAGTCATTTGCATATTGAAGAAGATATGAGTGTGAGATAACGAAAAAAATATGTATTGATGGGTATCAATGAGACGTTACAATTTTTTACCTTTACGTCAATGACGCCATCATTGAAAGGACACTGCATTCATCAACCGAACCCTGGGCTGTTTTAAGCTAAGCTTACACCTTTTTCGACCAGGAGACCAAGCCTCATCCATTCACTCTTTATATCTTGTCAATATTTATTTAGATACTGATGAATGCAATAGTTCTTCTTGCCAGCATGGGGGAACATGTTCTGATAACGTCAATCAGTATAACTGTTCGTGTATTCCCGGTTATGAGGGAACAGACTGTGAAACGGGTAAGTCCATTCTATCGTGTCCGTGTTCCACCTTAGTCTTTGGATCATGCTTTCTCGAACTATCGCTCCTATGTGTTTAGTGTTTAGTAACTCCTAACTATATTAAGCAAGGTATTTTGTATTGAACGAAGTATTTAATTATCTGTTTGTGTTATCTGCTGTTATATTTTATCTACTAAAACAAAAGAAGTAACAATTATCATTCTCGCACACATTTTCTATTATTTATAACTATTTATATAAACTTATTAGAAGTCGAGACATTCTGTCTTTTTTTTCCCAAGGCCTTGTCAATTCATAAATAATTCGATAGAAACTACACATAAAATAGGATACTTATGATCATTTACTAATAGGTTCTAAAACATACAATTGTCAGTCAAATCCGGCATGGGGTGTAAGTTATTATTTTAAATCTGTCCATAGATAGTACTAATATATATCTACAGCTGCGAGACAAATTGAAGCAAAGCCTGTTCGTAGATCCTGCAAAAGTGCACAACTCGGTAGACTACGTCGTGTCATATTTTCAATCCAATCCAATCCAAAAAATATTTGATATAGCGCCTTTTCCTTGCAGTTACAAAGCGCTGCACACATGCTCGACAATGTTTGGGCCACTTAAAAACAAAAGTTAGACACTTCTCAGAGATCAGTAAAGTATATGTAGGCTGGTAATAAAGTAATTTCTAGCAGAATAGATGTGACTTGAGTAGTTTCTTGAACTGGTCAACAGATGAGGCAGTCTGCACAGCAGTAGGTAGTTGGTTCCACAGTGTTGCAGCAACCGATGGAAAAGACAATTCACCAGCACGTTTCTTAGAGAGACACTGGGTGAGCCAGATGGATGATGATGAGCGGGTATTTCGGACTCGAGGACAACGAACAAAGCAGTCAGCTATGTACGGGGAACATCGGTGGTTGAGAGACTTGTAGACCATCTGGAGCAATCTCTTTATAGAAAAACAGAAAACTTGGGATCCGCACATGTGTTAAAAAATAGACTTCACAGGGAGGGAAGATACAGGCGGCGCTATTCAATTCAAATCAAAGCTCTGTAGCTTAGACCTCTTGGTGTTTGTGTGTGCGTGTTTGTGTGTGTGTGTGTGTATATGTGTATGTTTTTTTTTTTTTTTTTTTTGGGGGGGGGGGGGGGGGGAGGGACTAGCAGGATCCCGTCTTATAAAAAAGCTTTCCAGATCTTGGGAATCATGCTCTATTTCTGTATGGGTCATGATGATCAGGGCTTTCTTGTTTATTGATTTCTTGGCCATTGAGATCAGGCTGTGTTGCTCATTGGTCTTTGGACCATAGTAATAAGGGCTGTTATAGATTTTCCTCTCTATCATTTTAAAATACGCTTGAATAAAGAAAATGCCTAAGGGGTCAGGTAGTCCAAAGAAAATAAATATACTTCCAAAAACATCTTTAAAGCTGTATAAACTGAGACACATAGAAATGGGTATTACACCGAGTTGTACCGTTTGAAATGTTGAAAATTAAAAGTTTCACTATTTCTCCTAAGCAAAGCCATAAGCAATACTTAAAAAATTTCAAATGCGTTACATACGGGACATAATAGTAGAACGACAGCTTTTGAGACCAAAGAGATATAAATGTATTACAAATGTTAAGGGTCATTTTGAAAACTCTTCACTATCAATCACTATTTGGTTATTGTAAACCACCTCGTGTTTACATATGCCGCGTTAAAAGCGTGGCTGTTCATTTCGTCAGTTATTATGTATATGAAATAAAAAAATGCGAACTCACTAGACTGTATTGTACAATCCAGCATCTCTCCTGACAATTTTCCCTATCAGATAATGATGAGTGTATCAGCATGCCGTGTCAGAATGGTAGCTCCTGTGTTGATGATATAAATCGCTATTCATGTTCATGCACGCCTGGATATGAGGGATTACACTGTGAGATTGGTAAGCAAATGAAATATTTGTGTATCATAACATTGAAATCATGCAACGGTCTTTTTAGGAATATCAATCATGTCCGTTGTCTCCTCTTCTAAAGTTGCCTTGATTTTAACTTTCCCAAGTGATACATAGTCGAGCTGACATTTTGTAACATAACAATATTATTCTACATAAATCGTTGTTCAATAATCCTAGCTTTGAAAACTCGTAGTGTTTCCTATAACAACCACTCCATGAATCGAAGAACTTATCTGGTACTGGCTTCTTCTAACCAATGCAAAAACTCTTTTAACTACTTTATCCTTTATTGTATTTCTGCGAATTTTTCTAGTAGTGACCACTTTATCTACTTCGTGTTTTGAGAACCTGTTTCGTAGTTTCTCATGAAACTACTTCATGAATTGACTGGACAATGCCACAACGTTTCTAATCGGCTCATTTAAGATATGTTTGATAATGTATTATATTCTGCGGTAACTTTTATGTTTTTGGCACGATCAGAGATTAAGTTTCTTTGTATTGGAATCAATACCTGAACATAATCTAAAAACAAGTGAGAGTGAAAGGTTAAAGGAAAGGCAATACCCAGGTCATTGCATACATACCCAGGAAAATATCATTGTATTTCATTGTTTGGGTTTTGAATGATACATGTATGTGTATTCTCCGTTACATATTATATTGAAATGATTATCGAACAATTCATATGCATCTCCATTTCCAGATACGAATGAATGTTCAAGCAACCCCTGCTTGAATAATGGAGTGTGCAACGATGGCGTCAATAACTATTCCTGCGCATGCGTGGCCGGTTATGAAGGAACGCATTGCGAAACAGGTAAATGTTTTTTATATTTTGTATTTTTTCCCCGAAAAGACTTGATTTGATCATGGGGACCAACAGGCCCTGATTGGGGAAGATTTCTATATAGAGGGAGCAATTAGCTACAAGGAGTACAGTGTGGCTTAATATGTCACGTAATGTTTGAAACAAAAGCAATGATCTAAACACCATCTAACAGCGAATAGAAGTAAACAATAAACATGTATTTAGAACAAAAGGCAATACCTTATTTGACATACATAGTTGAATCAAGAAATTAGAATTACCTTGTTATTGTTTTGTGTTTAATTATAGTCATTTTTACATGAAAATCCGTGTTTATTAACGAATTTGGAAGTTTGTCGACCGGAATTTGCTTCTTCATTTCCAGATACGAACGAATGTTCAAGCAACCCCTGTTCAAATAGTGGAGTGTGCAATGATGCAGTCAATAGCTATTACTGCGCATGCGTGGCCGGTTATGCAGGAGCTCATTGTGAAACAGGTGAGTGTTTTTAAAATTACATTTCCAAGTGCCTAGAGGAGAGACTTAATTTGTCACGTAATGTATGAAATGGAAGCAATGATCAAAACACCATTTGACAGTAAATAGAAGTAAAACAATATACATGTATTTGGAACAAAAGAGAAGAATATCTTATTTGACATACATTGGTGAATCAAGAAGTTATAAATTCCTTTTTATTGTATTTGTGTTTAATTTTAATCATATTTCGTTGAAAAATCCGCGTTTATTAACGAATTGGAAAGTTTGTCGAACGGAAATTTGCTTCTTCATTTCCAGACACGAACGAATGTTCAAGCAACCCCTGTTCAAATAGTGGAGTGTGCAATGATGCAGTCAATGGCTATTCCTGTGCATGCATAGCCGGTTATGAAGGAACACATTGTGAAACAGGTGAGTGTTTTTTTAAACTAAATTTTCAAGTGTCTCGAAGAGAGACTTAATTTGTCACGTAATGTTTGAAAAGGAAGCAATGACCTAAACACCATTTAACATCGAATAAAAGTGAAACAGTAACCATGTATTTAGAACAAAAGGCAATACCTAATTTGCAATAGTGAGCTAATTTTCTTTAGATTAATAAAGCTGTGATTGTGTTCATGTCTTTGCATCTATTTTCAGTATCATTATTTTATATATCATTCTTATTGTAATTTTCGTCATCACCATCTTTATCATTATTATCTATTTTTCTTTGATCACTTCGTCTTCTGTCTTTAAATTGTTTAATTTACATTGACACATCGTTTTTCATCTTTCATTCATGCTTATCTCCTCCGGTGGAATATGAATACGGCGGGACGTTCTACAATTTCAGCACTTGCGAGATAAATTATACTTCTACAGTTTCAGCTTGTTCCCAATACGGATCCCATTTGGTCTTCATCGAGTCGCAAGAGGAACAGGACTTCATCGTAGGGGGTGCCAGTGATAACTACTGGATCAGGCTCACCGGTCGCAGCTACAGAAAGGCAAGGTGGCAAGACGGATCAAGTTTTACATATACAAACTTAAACCATTTTTCGTTTAATGAGAATGCAAACTTTTTTCAAATTTGATATCATATTCAATCTGGTGCGCCAGAGACGTATCCATATAGTTGGTAAGATAATGATCGATCCAGACAATTAGGATTCATATGAAAAAAAAAGTAGTGATATAAAGATTGGATTTGTTTCTTTCAATTGTTCATACTATCTGGTTGCGCCGCTTGGTGCATTTGAACCCCTAGATGGGGGCAAGGGAATCCCCCTCAAAAGAGTATATAATTAGGTTTTCTTTCTTTAGTCATTGTTTTCGTAAAGGTCTATCGGAACCGTAGGAATGCTCAATTCTGTGGTCTTTTGTCGTTCCATGCACTTATTTTCACATGCAAAGCATTCAAAAGAATGTAGAAAAGATGTTAATTTATAATCTCTAAACTACGGAGCACTCTTCATCTTCACATTCAAGCATTTCAAGAATAATCATATTAATGATTAGCACTAGTGGCGGTTTGTTTTTGTTTGTTTGATATAATCTCATTTTTCTTGCCAAGAGACCTTGTTTAAACTTCATTGTATAATAATAGTGTGTTTCATTGCATGATGAAACGTCAAAGATATTTGATAACATAAACGTGTAGTTTGTGTAGTAAAGTATGAATAACGTCTTAAACATACATATACATACACATATGCATATACATCCAAGTATACATCTACGTATATATAGACATATACATACACATACATGGATATACATGTAAAGACACATACTCATATACATATAAACATATGCATATTAATATGACAATACATATCTGTCTGTGTGTTCTCTCGAGTAATGAGCCTATACTTCAGAGACAAAGAAAACCAGTGAATAACGAAAAAAATATTGTAACGTCAATGTGTCAAAATACACGGTAGTTTGTGACATTATTTACTTGTTTTAAGTTTCAAGTATATTTTATTTCATACTTCACAATTATTACCTAAATAAATCGAAAAAAATAATAATAAATGCATTCCTTAATGCAAACTATATAAAATATTTCATTTCATTTTATTTCCAACAAAATACATTACATAATAACGAATATAATGTAAAATGTATACAAAACATAGTTACATTTGTAATAAAAAAAATCTTTATAGTAATTTGTACATTTGAGGAAGACAAAAATTAGAATTTTTTAATTTAACTGCTTTTATATTGAAAGTAATACAAAGTGTTGGGAAATTTTGAAAATTGGGTGGATAGTGATTCTTTACAATTTTGATATATTTTGATGCCCCTGTGGATGTATTATAAGCACTAACAAATTTAGCCCCTAAAACACCTAAAACTGCTTTCGAGAAAAATTTAATATAAAAATTTACCTGTGCTCCCGGTAAATTTGGATAAATAAAATTGGATATAATGGTAGCTGCGACCATGAAAATATCAGAATATTAGTTGTGATATAGAATTTCAAATGGGAATAGCTAATAGGTCGATTTTAGTCCCAAAAAACATTGTTTTATTGCTTATTAATGTCTCGACCTTGAGAGGGAGCTATACAACATAAAGAGTTTATTATTTACAATTTCATAACTTTACTCGATTTCAACCGCGACAACGATCACTGAATATTGTAGAATCGCATATGCCCCCAATATGTTTATTTGAACCAAATTCATGACCCCATACCAACACTTTGTGTTACCTTTAATATGTGAAACCATGTCATATAATAATAATAATAATAATAATAATAATAATAATAATAATAATAATAATAATAATAATAATAATAATATGTAGCTTTTATATAGTGCTTAATACAAATGTCTTTAAGCGCTTTACCAAAATACTACTACCCCGGTCATTGGTTTCAGTGCTTGCCGACACACAATGTGTGCGCATTCTCCACTCCCTGGGGAGCATTCCAGCCAGGCGTTACTGGACGCTCAAAAACTGTTTGACCAACAATGACGGTCGCATCCTACCGGGTACACATTTAACACCTGGGTGGAGAGTGCAAGTGCAGGTTAATAGGTGATTCAAGACGAGGAAAAGAATAATGAAAGAAAAAAGTCAAAATTTTATCTTCTAGAGTAAGGTAAAACAAATATGGTCCTAATGTGAAATATGAGGTAATCTAAAGTAAGATGATCGGTTTATAAATAATTCACTATACACTGCGTTCTAGTAAAAATGAAACTCGAAAAGAAATAGATAATGTGAATATCCATGAGATGTATAATAATATGCATGGCTTCCATAGAGCAGAGGTACTATGCTTTCCAATGATACATTAATCTATACAAGCTGGACTGAGAAACATTCCTTTGAAATGCCATGTCAACATCCTCCTGTGCCAGATTTATATGGAAGAGTTAAACCGTTAGTATCAAAGTATCAAACGCGAACATGACCGATCGTGACCTGAAAGAAACACAAATTCTAAAAGCGAATGAGAAGATTATTGTAATGAGCCTTTTTTAATAATGAGGGCAAGATTAATACCATCTCTATCATTAAATAATGCATTATTAAAATATTATCGATGGTGAGGGTACAAAGTCATATTTTAGTTCGTGAATGGGTATGCAATTGTAATGCACAGTAATTTTGCATTTTAAGAACTGCCTAAAGTTTTTAACAGACCAAGTTAAACGATATGTATGAAACAAGAATCAAATTGATGGGCGCCTTACATGAGTATCAGTATTGTTGTTATTATGTTATTATCATTACTATTGCTATGACTATAATCATTATTTTCCAAGCTATAGGCAAACTTGATATACTGGATGTTACTACTATTACATGATGATTTATTTCTGATTGAAATGGTAGCATTAGTGTTTAAATGTTTGTTTGACGTGAAATATAAAAATAATCTAGTTTCAATTATTATACCATCAATTGTGTTTGTTTAAGTAAAAAGAAGAGAGATAACCTGTGGAAAAGAGAAATTGATAAAGGTTATAATGAAAGAGATGTATAATTTAGTGAGAGAATTCGATAGGAAGAGATAAAGAGTGAAAGAATGTGAGAGGATATTGATTTAAAGTGAGAGAAATTTGTCATGAAAGAGATGTATGTTAACGTGATATAATGTGAAAGGAAGACTAAATTGAAGATTGCAATAATATGAGAAGGTGATAACGAGATAGTATTTTGTAATAAAAGGAGTCAGATTAACTGAAAAAGAGGAAAACAAAAGAGTGAGAGAATGTGAGAGATAACAATGTAAAACATTGTAAAGATATAGAGATTCTTCGACCCATCTTATATACATCCGCCTTTTGTCACTGTCTTCGACCCATCTTATATACATCCGCCTTTTGTCACTCTCTTCCACCCATCCAATATCGATCCGCCTTTTGTAACTCTCTTCGACTCATCTTGTATACATCCGCCTTTTGTCACTCTCTTCAACCAATCTTATATACATCCGCCTTTTCTCACTCTCTTCAACCCATCTTAGAGGCTGTTCACACCGGCATAGATAGCGCGCGCTAGACCGCGCTATCTCTGCGGTTTGGAAGGTACAACGTCGTTTCAGTCCGCCTAACAACGAGCCACGGCGAGCCAAAACGGCGTGCCACTGGAGCACCTCTTGGGGGTGGTCATAGAGATATATACTTAATAAGGCTAGAGTGCGGACTCGTCATACGCGCCCGTTCAAAGCTCTGTGCGCGCATGGAGCGCGGTCCGCCATTACTAAGGAGGGCACAACATCGAGAAATACCCGGATGTTCCATCGAAACTGTGCTACTGATAAGCAATGTGAAGCTTCATTTTTCGGGTTGATTTATCGGTTTTCGAGTATGAAACGTTATAATTGTGATATTTTGCATAATGCATGAACCCTACTCATGCCTCAGTCATGGTATCTGGTGTAGGTCAAGATTAATTACGGATGTTATGGTGAGGTAAAAGGGACACAAAAAGCTATTTATATTTCAGTATATCTTCAATTTTTCTTCCTCTTTGTCAATATAAAACTGTGATATTATGACATTAAATATTACTTGGCTTTCAACCAATCAGAATCAAGCATTTGGGACTTGTATTTGATATTTATGTCATGATATTAAACAAAGTTTTATGCTACAGGGCCAATGCCGGGGGCCAATGTCTTTCTAATTCAGTTATTATGAGAGCCAGGGTTTATTGATTTAAAACGCTTTAAAAGTAATAGATCTATATTAATTTTATGTTTATGGCTATTATAAACATATTAATACTTATAGATTTGGGATAGAGATGGGTATGTAGATAGCTAGACACATAAATAGATGGATAGATAGATATAATATAGAAGGATAGGTAGATAATGGAAATGCAGATATAGGATGATACTGAAGATAGGAAGAGGGGGAAGGAAAGAATAATACACATTTATTTTAAAAAAATTATGTTATTTACTCATCCAATCATTCATCCATCCATCCAAACATTCTTTTTCTTCTTCTCTCACTCATTTTATATTCACACCTTATGTCTTTCACCTATTCTCTATAAAATCTCTATATGTCTGAAAGAACAATTCAAGTTTTTACAGTTCACTATAAATATATATATGAATATTCTTTAAAAACAGCTGATCATTGATGTAATAATTATTTATTCACACCACTTTTTTTCTCCATAAATAATATTCTTCTTGATACAGTGTATTTCTTATTTTCTTCATCAACCAGTTTTAGAGAATAAACTTATAATTAAATTTGAAGAAAAAAATGAATAAATGAACCTTTTATTACCACACGGCACACGTGTGTTGATATTCTACAGCATAGGCATTTAAGTTTTGACATTTTATCGGACATAATATACTGCAATAATACATCACAATTGAAAGGACAGACATTGCAAAAACAACACCTCATATTTTAGCCCCAAATTTACTGTCACGGATCATAGGCAACACAACCACAACAAATTGATTTGCCACCAAAGACAAGCATTACACATCCCCAAACCGCCACAATAACTCCCAAAACATAAATGTCAGGAGGCCAATGTCTATGTGTCAAGATGTCAGCGATAACGAACACTTTATTAACTAGTCTTGGCTCCAAGTGCACGCAGGCGCGTCACATTTACTAATAATACAAAGACATTTCATCGAGTAATAAATGCAAACCAGAAATAGTAATTGAGCATATATATTCCAAGTCACCTGTGTTGCTATGAAGAACTATAATTGAAGGGACTTACATCTCAGGATACTGCACTACACTATTCAGTGAAACCTCATAGTAATAAGGTCTTTTGACATCATTATTCATCAGGTATAATAATAAATTTGAAACTGATTACCCTCAAATGTACACAGTAGATACAACAAGCCAAAGAGTGCACAATCTTATGGGTTTACATCTAGTGACATTATTCCATATAATTTTTCTGTTATCAAATCTCTTCAAAAGCAGTTTTCCATTTTGGAACAAAATTCAAACCTATGTACAAAACATACATATCCATACTGTACCTGCA